GTGCAGTGCGCCAACAGCTACGCGCGCCGGCTCCGCAAGTAAGTCGTACCTCAACTGGTCAAAGGCAAGTGGCGGTGCTTCCACGACCGTCCGCATACAGTGGGCAGATGCAGCAGTGAGTGTGAATGAATATATATCTGTGTGCACCCGAAACAGTGCAATGCAACGGCAGTGGTGGCATACCTAACCCTATTCACCTGAATGCAATACCCAAACATCCGCACTGTACGACGTTACAAGGGACATCTCTACAGTCTCCAACGCCAGGAACGTCAAATTCACTTAGATGGCGTCGTAGAGCAGTGGCGTCGCTTCGTCAAAGTTGCGGGCGCTGACGTACTTGGTTTTTTTCGTAAAGTTGGTGCCGTTCTCGAGCAGGTTCATGTACGCCGGCCCGAGATGCGCGATTGCATTTACGCGGAGGCGCGAGATGAAGGCGCGCTCGACGATGTTGGGGTTGATGAGAAACGTGCCTCTGGCGCGCGTCGACAAGAGCACGTTGTCGCCGACGTGCTTGTACGCGAGGTGCGCAAAGCAGAGCGCCGCCAGCGACCGCTTGGGTGTGCCGACGATCGCGTCGCCGTCCGCGCACACGCGGTAGCAGTTGGTCACCACGCGCTTGAACGCGGCCGCAAACTTGTGGTTGCCGACGCGGGGGCTGCCGTACGTGTACACGACAATGTCTTCCATCAGGCGCCACCGGTTGTCAGTGACCACGTCGTAGGCCATGAGCGTCGCGAGCGCACCGCCGAGAGAGTGCCCTAGTTCCTAGTTAGTTAATATACGCGACGTTGAAAAGGACGCACCGGTGACGTAGAGCTGGCACTCGGGCATGGACGCCATCGCGGTCTGCACGATACTGCGGATCGTGTCGCGCACCGTCATGTAGGCGTAGTGAAACCCTGCGTGGACCATGGACCCGTCATCGTCGTCGACTCCAAACGCGGGTCGCGTCATGTGGACTTGGAGGTCGGTGAGAGCGTTGGCGGCGCTCAGCGTGCCACGGAAGACAACGACGACGCGCTTGTCGCCAGCGAGAACCCACCCGTACGTGTCGGTCATCGCATCGTAGAAGTGCTGGACGAGCGTGAGCCCGTCTTGGGTCCAATGTGCGTCGCTGGCGACGACGTAGCACCCTTTTTCCGTGTCAAAGTCGGGTTCTTCGTAGATCGCAATCGACTGGTTGTATAGAGCGCAAGCAGTCTCGATAACGAATGCATCGGGCGCACGCCACTCGAGATAGCCATCGTCGAGCGAGAGAGACCGGTTGTAGCGTCCGCCCACGACTTGCTTGAGGTGGGCGAGCGTAAAGTCGCGCTGCGACGACGTGAGTCGCGGCAGCTTGGTCCGAGCGCGGGTGTAGTAGACGTGGTGGTGGCGGTCGGTGGTCTTCGTCGGCGGCAAAAAGAGCACAGCAAGGACCCACGTCGCCGTCCGGAGAATGAGCTGCACGGCCAAGTCAGTGAGGATGACCGTCTTGGGCACAAACGGCGAGACGGTCGGGAGCGGGTCGGCAAAGAGCGCGACAAAGAAGAAGACGTACATGACCGTGAGCCCAATGACATAGAGCAGCCGCGCCGTGAGCTGCTCGGGGCGCGTCTCTGCGTACGCATGCGCGCGCAGATTGTTGCGCACGTCGACCATGAGCCCCATGTAGATGGTCGAGCAAAAGATCGCAAGTCCAAAGTTGAGGAGCGAGAGGTACTGGTCGGCTGCATACAAGTACGTGTAGAGATACAGGCTCAGAACGGACGTGCCAAGGACAAACTTGCCGACAAAGAAGCGAGCGCCAAAGGTCCGCGTGCGCTGCATGTCGAGGAGGAAGAGGAACGCGAGCAGCCAGAGACCGCAGCTGAGTGCAAACACGCCTTCGCTCGCGTACAGCATGGCCTGAAAGCTCTCCGAGAGGTCCAAGTACTCGGAGAGATACAACATCGGGCAGCTCGCCAACAAGTTGACGCCGCACATGACGTAGACGACCCGTCGCTCGGGCAGCCACGGTGCGGACCGCACCTTGACCGCGTACGTGAGCAGCACGCCCATGTCGAGCAAGAAGACGCACAGGTTCACAATGTCCAAGACGCGCTCCATGAACGCATGGTGCGACAGGAAGAGCAAGTGCGCCACGGGCCGGAGTCGCATGAACGGAATCAAGTCGTGCGACGCAAATGAGAAGGACGCGGCGACCGAGAACGTGTGCTCCTCTGTCCCGTTCTTGAACGGGTGCCACGCATCTTGGTACCACGGAAAGTACACGAGCGGAAGCGCCCCCATTGCGCCTTCTTCGACTTTGCGCAGCGCGCAACTGCCGTGGTCGCAGACGCAGTTGAGCGCTTTGAAGCCGTTGATTTGGTCAAACAGCACGACACCGTCCATTGCAAATGTAATGTTGTACGCCAATGACAGCGTGAACGCGCCTTGGGTCGGCAAGGCGTCGTTGGCGACCCCGCAAAAGTCCCCTACTTGTCGACATGAGCTGTTGCTCAGTCGAGAAAGCAACCTTGAAGGGAGAGAAACCGCGTGGAGCCCGGCAAGTCGTTCGTGCTTGAGCTCGCAATCGTGTAGGCTGTCGCGTTGATTTCGGTCGTGTTCTGACGCACTAGCGGAAACGACGTCTCGTCCATTGAAATGGGCGGAACGAGCAGTGCAAAGCACCCGAGCGAGGCAAGCACGAGCCAGTAGCAGACAACTTGGACCCAGCCTACGCGCACCACGATACGACACGTTGTATCGACAAAGGCCGTACGCTTGGACATGGTCTCCAAAAAGATCTTTGGCTCGGCGCGCAGACCGAGAGCCGTATCGGGCACCGAAGTCCGAAACTACAAAATGTCATGAGCGAGGTCGCTGCGACGCGAGTACTTGGCGCAGGTCAATGTAAAACCTAGTATGAGCTTCAGATGCCAATATTGTCATCCGATACACGTACTGTCCGTGGCTCTCCTTGGACTGGTCCATCGCATTGGGGACGTGCTCGTCGCTGTTGCTGCTCACGGCCTTGTCCTTGGCGAGCTCCATGATGTTGTGGCTTACGAGAAAGACCGCCGGCACGATCAAGTTGATGGCGAACGCCAGAAGAATGAGCGACCAGCCGACGCCTAATGTAGTAGGCGCACCATGAGCTTCGAGCCCCAGCCAGTTGCGGATTACGGGACAGCGCGCACTGGCCCATGCCGTCGGCGAGGCGGCCGTCGCACTCGTAAATGATTGGAAAGCAGTCGCAGTTGCCGATCGCGCAGCCCGACTCGCGGCGATAGAGGCCAAAGGCGCCACCGCCGCTGCATGTATCTGTGAGCTCCTTTGTCGCCGCCTGCGCGACGCCGGCCAGCGCCACGAGCCAAATGCTCGCCCGTCCGAGCATTGCAAAATGCAATCTCGCGACTTTGCACGCGACCACATTAAAAACAATCTGCATGGATACCTCGGTAATTGTATCCAGAATAAAATATGCTCTTTAAAAATCCTGCATGTCGCAGCAAATACAGTGTACGACGATTGAAGCGTGGTCGCTCGTTGCGACAAGCAGCTCGGGCAGCCGCCACCGCCGACACCGCCATAGCGATTCATATACCGGTATATGCTTATAGTAGCAATCGGCATACTACACCAGCATCGGCGGCGGTCGAACGAGTAGCCGCGCCTGTGTCTCTCTCGACGTCGCCAAATGCTGGTGGCAATTCAGTAGTGGGGCACAGACACGCTACAACGCTGGCGGCTCACGGCACCGGTGGTGCAATGGGCAATGACGCCGCTGCGTAGCCCGAGCCGTTGGCAACCATCATCGCTGCTCTAGTTCTCGTAACAAGTCCCGCTCACCAACGAGCTCTCAACAAGGCACCATCATCTCCATTGGTTATGGTATTCCAGAACGACGTTTGACCGATACACGACTAGGGGCGGTACATCTCTCGGTCTTGGAGCTGCAGCACGAGCTGCGCCACCGAGTCTTCGAGACGTCGGATCTTGGCGAGGACGTCGTCGTTGGTGGCGCTTTGGACTTCACTTTCTTTTTTGGGGACGTACACCGAGTTGCGGTAGAGCAAGATGGTCTCGAGCACATGCTTGGCCGAGCGCGGCGAGAGGTACGCGCGGTGAATCACGTCGTCTTCCGTGATAAAGTCGAGCCGATCAAACGCGCCGGCTTGGACAGCGCGGAGAAACTTGGTCTCGGCATCGCAGCCAAAGAAGCGCGCGGGGTTGAACACCTCGCACGTCACGACCCAGAATTCCCAGAGCACCGACCGGTTGTGCCTACGACAAGAGCAATAAGAAACAGGCGTGAAATACGATCGACGAGACCGCGCGTTCTCCATGGTCACGTCCGTGTACGACTCGAGGACGACGGCGAGGAGGAGGTTGAAGAGGATGAGGAAGAGCAGCACCATGCCGCTAAAGTACCACACGACCGCGAGCGGAAAGTTGACTTGGGCGATCGCTTCAAAGTCAAAGTCCCCAAAGAGCATGTTGATGCACGTCACAAAGCCGCGGCCATAGTTGCTGAACTGCAGCGTGCCTTCGAAACTGAGGCAGCCAGCGACGACGTAGCCGTACAAGGTCAATACAAAGACGCACGAGAACGCGCCGAGCTTGTGGATCGACTTGAGAATCGTCGTCGTGACGACATTTAAATTTGGGTGAAATTCCATCGCGCCAAAAATACTAGCCAAAAAATGGTCATTTGATACGTTGATAGAAAAGGGATACCGGGTCGTGAGCAGGAGCATGACGGCGATCGCAAGGAACCGGACGCGCGTCATTTGCGACGCAAGGTCTTCGAGCCGGTCGCTGTTGACCATGGTCGTGCTCGGGTGCTTCTCGGCAAATGTTGTCGCCGTGTAGTTGAGGATCGCCGAGTAGACTTTGAACCAAATGAGGTAAAACATACTCACAGCAAAGACGACGACCCAGTCGAGCCACACAAAGACGGACGAGTAGGACGCAATGTACACATGGCACCACTTGGGGCAGCAGAACGCCAGCACCAAAAAGGCCAGCGTCCCACCAAAGTACGAGAGGATGCACAGGTCGAGCCATTTCTGGTACGGACTTGCATACAAGTTGCTTGGCACTACGATGACTTCGCCGCTCGCATCAATGAACCCGCCGCTTTGGAACGTCACGGTGAGGCGCGTGCGGGCAAATGCGTCGAGGTTGCCGTTGTACGTGATGACTTGAAAGACGACGCGGGCGGTGGCTTCGTCGACCCACCGGTCGTCCTTGCCCTGCATCGTAGCCTGGATGCCCTCGAGCGTGAGCGGCCGGAAGCGCGAGCTGATCGCGACGCTGTCCTGGTGCCGCGCCACGAGTGTGTCGCCGTCCTCTGCGTTGGCGTAGCAGACCGTACCCCACGTGTCGGCCATGTTGGCGTTGCAATCTTTGAGCTCGCGCTTATAGACTTCAATCGCAAGCGTCAAAATGACATTTTCGGAAGCGACGCGCCACTCGCCATCGTCGTCAAAGAGACTTGGCAGCAGCGTGTCGTACGCCCAGGCGTGGACGTCCGACTTGACTTGGATGTTGGCAAACTTCATGCTCGAGTTGGCGTTGATCGTGTCCTACGCACTTTGAGCACTAGAAAGGCCGTTTCGGACGTACCGAGCCCGACGAGACGAGCGCCGTGGTGAGCCCGCGCTCAACGAGGTACAGCTCGTGCGTCGGAAAGATGCACGTCGTCATCGTCGCAAAGGCAAAGAGCACGGTCGTGCGCAGAATGAGCACGGAAAAGTTGAAGCGCAGCGCCGAACGCGCGAGCATCGCCTGCGGAATGTCATCGTGGCGCAGCGCTAGCACGACGTCGTGCTTCTCCGCGACAAAGTCGGCAAGGAGCCGCGTCGACTCGGTCGGCTTGAGGCCCATGCGTCAGCTCGAAAACAGTGGGCTCGCAGACGCCAGCGGGCGACAGTGGGACCTATCATCGTCCAACAACACCTCGGTTTGCATTGGCCAAAATAAAAAATAGAAGCGCCAATCCACGTTGAAGATGCGAAATCGCCACGTTTCATTGGCTGGAATCTTGGCGACGGGCAAGTGTGCCACGACACCCAACTCCGCCTTGCGAACGCTGCGGGCGGACGACGCGGCCAGTAGTTGGTACAAGGGTACGTATATATTCATTCACACTCGCTGCTACATCTGCC